AGCCAGTAGCTCCTTCACAACATGTATAGATCGATGACAATTTCCCCTCAATATCTTTTTACACTAATACAAATAACCCTGGCTCCACTAGGCCACAACTACAGTGATATTTACGGGACACCCAAGGGAAAAAAGCTCAATGACTATTAATAGAAATCAATAATAATGTTGGGAGATTTTGTTATCATTGTCCATAAAGTAATTTTAATTCATTTTTATGACTACAAAAATAATATATCCTCATCAGAAAAACTCAGATCTTGTGAAGTATACAAACCATTTTATGATTAAAGTTAAACATGAATGTCATCTATCCCCCTGAACTCTCACAGAAATTGAATTCCCATATTAGAGATACTAAGAGGATGAAAACAATCTGCCTATGGTGTGTACGAGTGGGGCCTTTAGAAAATGACAAGGTTTAGATAAGGTCATCAGTGTTGATTGAATCCTGGTGGCTTTATAAAAGGAGAGATAGAGACAAGACACAGAGATAGAGATGATGTGTGTGCTTCCAGCATCTTTCCACACCATGCTAGATGCTGTCTCAGGACTGTGCCAGCAAGAAGGCCATCACCAGAACTGAGCCAATGAAGGGCCATGCCCTTGAAATTTCCAAAACAGTATGGTAAATAAATTTCTTTTTCTCATAGTTAGCCTTGTGCACGTATTTCATTATAGCAAGAAAAATCGAACTACTGTGGATGCATAATATTAGAACAGTGATTCAGAAAAAAGTAACTGAGATTCAGTTCCAGGAATTCACAGGTTTTGTCAGGATAATTGACAGGACCTATGAGGAGCTCACTCACTTTCCCTTTTCTGAGGGCTAATTTGCAAGGAAAATGATTTTGATATCGCTATCTATCTATACCTCTATCTCTATGTATCTCCCTATCTCTATCACCTATCTATCTATAATGGTGGCGAACCTATGGCCCACATGCTACAGTGGGCACTCAGAATCCTCTCAGTCAAGAGGCAAGCCAGGGATCTCTGTCGAGATCGCCCCAGAATTGCCCCAGAAGCCAAGCATTCAGATTTAATTGCAGTGTTGGCATTTTGGGATACATACATTTGCAGTTTGGACATCCACTCTCTAAAAGGTTTGCCATCACTGATACACAGCATCTTTCAGTTGTCTATACAGACAGCTCTTGTCTCATTAGAAAATAAGACTACTAAAAAGTAAGTTTATTAGAAAATGAAAAAGTGCATTGTTTCTTTAGGAAAGGACTAAACTTAAGTTGTCTTCTTGGAGTAGCTTTAATATTAGGCCACAGTGGGAGCCAGGTCATCGAACAATGTGCATCTAATGACAACTACCTGCATTTGGAGACTAAGAGCAACAATGGTAGGGCTTTCGTCTTCAGGAGCTCTTCCTTCTCCAGTTGAAGTCATGCCCCAAAGAAAGATCCAGTCAACTCAATAAGAGCTTTCTGGTCATGCTGTAACAGGAACGGTGGGGACATGACTAAGAAACTGGATAAAGAAGATGTGGTTTTTCTATGAAATGGAATACTACTCAGCCATAAAGAGTGAGAAATTAGATTCATTCATAGGAAAATGGATACATATTGAGGATATACTCTTAAGTGAAATAAATAAGTCACACATGTGTAAATACCGAATAGTTTCTCCTGTGTGAAAAACTATAATAGTACACAAGATCCTAATGGGATAATTAATAGTGTGAAATAGGAAGAAAAGGGCTAAAGGTGTAGGGAAAGTGGGAAGGGTAGGGGAAAGGGAATAAGGGAAAAGAAAAAAAAATATGAGAAAATGAAAAAATGGAAGTAAAGTGTTTGAAATGGGGAGGGGCGGAGGGGATGAAGGGAGGGCAGGGACAAGGGGAAAAAATGAGAACCAAGACCTATCATGTGAAGGTAAAGGATACCAGTAATGAATGTAACTGTATTGTATACCTAGATTGTACCAATAAACTCAATAAAAAAAAAAAAAAAGAAGAAAGTGAAAACCTTGGGAAACTCTGGTGACTGCTGACAAACTGGCAAGCCACTTAAACTCAGGGTAGACTTCAATGTTCTCATTCATAAGCATGGTTATGCTACTGCTCTTTTCTTCCACAAGACTGCTGGGAGACTATAATGAGGTCAAGAATATGAAATAGCTTTGTAAACTCTGATCACTGTGTGCAGGTTAGAGGGTGAGATGCTAACTCCCTGCTGCTCGAATGTTTGCCTTTCTATTGGGAAGAATTGGTCAGAGGTGGAGAAAAAAGACTTTGAAGCCAAATCTCTCAAAGAGGAAACCAATGGTTTAAACAAATGCTGGGTTTATTTGTAGGCAGTAAATAGTAAAAATGACCTTGATGTACTGAGCAGGAAGAGACATTTGGGTTTCAAATGCTGCCTACTCTCTACTTGAAAGGAAGAAAGGAAGGAAGGAAGGAAATATACCTTAAAAAATAGCCAAATTAGAAAGAATGAAATGTGGTGACAAAGGCTCTCAGTGAGAAAGCATTTGTTTTATTTCTTCTAGAACAAGTGATGGTGAAACATCTAGAGAGGAGTTCCCATACTGCAACTAAGACTCACTTATTTATTGCAAAGTGCCAGCACTGCAATTAAACTTCAATATAAAGTTTTAATTTAGAAAAAAACTCATACATTAACATCTTTTCTCTTAAAAACAACATGTGTGCCATGGGTTTGCCACCCCCGACCTAGAATGAGATCCCCTGGGGTGGAGGGACTAGATCTTACCATCTTTATGGATCCTAGTCTTTGTAAAGTATAAATCACATTCCTAGAAACTATTTAGAAGAAACCATATAGCACTATAATTTTTGTAGATTGAAACAGTCTAATATGAATCAACCTAATGAGCGTTAGACCAAAATGCAGGAAATTTAAGGGTCATATTTATTCAGTCAACCTTTTCCCACAATTCCTTTCCACTTCTGCCACTGGCTTACACAGGGAGGACTTCCTTTTTCCTTTGGATTCATGCCTTTCTTTATGCCTCATTCCTCTTTGTTTTCCCTTGAGCTTGGGAATTTCTAAGTAATATGCACATGCCAAGCCATTTTTCTCTTCTTATAGGTTCTGTAACACTAAAGAAGGCATTTCATTTTTCACGCAAATTTAAATTCCGTTTCACTTGATGGACACCAAGGGCTCTTGTCAAGCAAAATGTGTGTTTCTCCCTAAGGTGTTATACAGATTTTCTTCTTTCTCTCTCTCCTATCCCCACCATGGCCCATTCTCCCTTCCTTCCTAGTGAGACAGGGAGAACATTTTCTCCCATTCTGTGCAGGTGGGTAGAGGGAAGCCCCAAACTGCTAGGGTGGAGAGGGGAGGCACCTGAGGAAAGTGGGCACGGCTGTCTTATACCAGAGATCCTAGAAAGGACACTAGGCTTGTACCGTTTTTGCATCTCCTTGTGAAGCCGAGCACTGGGCAGAGGCTGTGTCGGGTGTTATTTATGTGACTCAAGTGGATCTCGAACTGAGGTCATGGATTTTCATTTTTCCATCTGCACATTTGCTTCTTTTATTTATTATTGTCTAAAAACTGAAGTTTGGTAGTATTGGGCCCTGTGATAAAATTGTGTTATATTCATTCTGTTACACAGCCATATTTGTAGCCTATTATATCATCCATATGAAGGGCAGCATTGTGAACGCTGTTTATGGTTATGACTCTGCATAACCATGAAAGATGTGATTTTATCAAATAAATGTGGCCATCCTCTCTCTATCTCCATGCTACAAACCAATAGTAGAAGAGATTGAAGCCTTTAGATGAGGTAGCAGGATAACAATACAGACACAGTAGAAAGTGGGCTCAAAGGACAGGTTTTTCTGTCATTGGGAAACTCTGGTGACAATGAGTACATTGATAGAACAGATTAACATTGAAGGATGACTATGATCCCTTTCATCTTTATTTAACAGTAATGAGACATATATTCAGCACTTGAGAAATAGTCATAAGGTGGGTAATTAGCCTGGGCAATTCAACTATTGAGTCAGTATTTTTACAATTCCATAACTGAGCATTTCACTACTTATATATTCCCTTCAAGATTCTGATTTTATATCTCTAACATAGGGATAGTTGTATCTACTTAACAGGATTACTGAGAGGATTAAATGAAAATTGATGCAAAGCCTAACATAATATGTGTCTAACATAATATGCGTTAGTGTCATTTCTTCCCAGGCTTTTCTAGTTTCCTTAAAAATATATCTGAACATGTGTATGTGTGTGTGTATGTCTACGGCTCTGTCTGTGTCTTGTGTCTATGTGTGTCCACAGAAGGGAGAAGGATCTAAAAGAAACAAGTTGTACAGTTCATGTTGTTCAGAGTTTCTCAACCCTCCCACTATGGCATTTTAGGCTAGACAATTCTTAGCTGTGAGAGATTGTCCTGTACACTATAGATTACTTAGGAGCAACTCTGCCCTCCACTCACTAGACACCAGTAACACCCCCAAACTGTGACAGGCAAGCATGTCCTTAGATACAACTAAATGTTCCCTGGGAGACAAAATTGCCTTGTTAAGAATAACTAGTGTAGCTCTGCTTATCCACTGAATAATCAAATATTTCACTTATAAATAATTTGGTTAGGTAATAGATAGACTTGCTCATGGCTATTTTAGGTTTAAATGTATATAAAGTCAATATTTATTCATAAAAAGCTAATATCAAGCTAAGGTATATAACCAACCCATAATCATCCATGAAGTGAGCAATGATGTAGATAATAAAAAAGTTATTTCGGTCATACAATTTCTCTGTGTTAGATTGCTTTTCTAATTATAGATGGCTTGGGCTAAAAATAGTGGAGTAATCAATTTCCTGAACACATGCTGACAGATGGCAGAGAGAAAATGCAAGTGTATGTGAAGAGAAATCATTTGGGTTCTTCAATTCTCACGGGTGCTCATAAAATGGACATTTTAACAACAGGGTGATCAATCTGCATTGTCTGTTGGCAAACTTAAAAGTAATAGCAACCTTCATACTTACAGATGAATTAAAGACTTTAGTCCCCGGAAAGTATGTCTTGAAATGGACTTGATGTTGTTGTTTTCTATGAATCTGCAATAGGTCATAATACTTTGGTCAGACAGCTACCTGGAACCTGAGAGTACTTGTCCTGATTCATCATGTGAAAAAAAAAAAGTCATTTTACTTACAGATACTCTAGATGTGGAAGACCAATAAAGGCATCATCACTGATCACATCAAAGGAGTTTGATGTGAATAACCTGCTCAGAAAAAGTATACAGTGAAAATTGTTAAACTGACAGATTGTCAATTTTGCCGCTGTTATCTTTCTGAGAATTGAGTGGGGGTTGTACACAGAAAAGTATCTGGAAGTCTGTCTTCTACCGTGCTACTTATTGCAGATACTTGTAACTTTTCTTAGTCCTAATTGCTTTCTCATCAAATACTCATTGAAGGTGCTTTGTGCCCTATTCCTCACAACGATGGCTACCACCTGCCCAAGGTAACATTTTGAGATACAAGCTAAGCAGGTATGACAAGCAGATGCAGCCAAACCAACTTTTGCATGTTTTCACAACAAAGACACTAACAACCTTTTCCACTTGCCCTGGAAACCTCTGAAACATTCTGGTGGATGAATCAATGGTGCTTTGGGATTTTAATCTTAGGAAACATACAAAACTTCTGCTGTATTATCTTAGGCAGGTCACTGAGACTGGCTGATGAACATCAACTGACCTTGAAAGTAAGAAAATGAGGACATGAAACAATGAGGTTTAGGAAGAATGTTAGACCATTTATCTCTAACTAGTTGAAAGAAACACTTTTACTTGGACTAATTTATTCACAATTTCAAAATCCACAGGGATCTGGTTTTGAAATTTCTGATGAAAAAGGACATCAATCAGCTGTCCCCACACCCTGTTAAACTCTTTGGGGAACTTGCCAGTTTTCTGAATGAAAGGTTTGAAAGAAGTACTGCTAGATCAAATGATAGAATTGTGTATTCCTATAATAATAAAATAACAATAATAATGCTGCTACTAAAAGCTTGTAATTTTTACTTTTAGTATGTAAAGATTAAAAATAATTACCACTAACTTGTTAAGTGACTTGATCTCCAATCTTGATAACCAAGAGCATTAAAACTAGGAGATCTCACTTTCTAACATTTATGAGTAATTTTTTTGAATTTGGGATTTCTTCAGGATAATCAGAGGAGGAGAACAGCAGGATGTCAGAGAAGAATCAGGCATGAGTTGATAAGTTTTGATACTAAATATGGGTACATGGGAGCGAATTTTAGTATTATCTTTACATTTATATATACTTGGAATTTTTCCATGAAAATGGAAGTGGGAGGGTGAACCAAACAATCAAAATGAGATGCTCTCTTGGTATTACTTTCTCATCTAGCAATCCTGGAGTGGTGTTAGATTCTCTCCTAATCCCTTTTCCCTCTAATATCACAGCTTTACACTCAAGCAATCTACTAGACTCTGAAAAGCAATACTAATGAATGAAGGCATATTAAAGTAATTAAAACAGATTTAAAAGTTTATGACCTTTACTACAACTTTGGCAATTGCTTCTTCTCACTTTATGGTTTTGGAAAACAATAGAATGCTCAGCCTTACTCCAAGGTAAGCTAACTCCAGGCTTTCATTTCATTCTGCCTAGCCAGCATCATGGGTGCACAGACTTCAGTAAGGCAGAAGTACATACAGAGAAGAACCTCGCTGCTCAAAGAGTTGCAGACTGTCTTACAGTTGACAGGAGATTTCATCATTCCACTTGAAGTAACCAGAAGAAATGACTTTCAGTGCTAGTTCTCTTTATGGTAAGTCAGATGAAAGATGAAGAGGGAAATGGAAGTTAGCAGGCATAATCTGCCCATACATGTTAAAGAAGTAAAAGGAAGGATTTCCACTGGAATTTTGTCTGCTTGTTCACTGCTTATCCCAGCATAGTGCCTGTCCCAGAGGGGATATTGAATAAATATTTTATGAACAAATAAGGATTTGTTTTACATTAAATTCCCATCGTTACTAGGTTACTAGATTGAGTGTTCCTTACAGCAGACCTTTCCATTATTTATTTCTGTGACCCTAGCTCTGATTACAGTTCTTGGATGAAAAACATGTTTATTGAATAGATTTAAGGAGTGAAACCTCTGGCTAAAATTATGTGCAAAAATAAGAATGAATATTTGAAGGAATGAAGCCAGAACACAATAAACTACATACCATAAGATTGCACTTAAATAAAGACAAAAGCTAGTAAAACTAATCTGTGCTGCTAGAATTAAAGATAGCAGTTATTCTTGGAGGCCAGTTCTAACTGGAAGAGGAGACAAGGGATGACTTTGGGGTAATCATGATGCCTTCTCTCTTTCTCTCTCTGTTATCTCCCTCTCTCTTTCTCTCCCCCCCTCCCCCCTCCTCTCTTTCTTTTCTCTCTTCTTTCTTATCTATATTTCTTTTTTTCTTGTACTTAGGATTGAACCTAGGCCCTTGCACTGAGCTATATTTCCAACCCTTTTTTATTTTGAGACAAAGTCTTCCTAAGTTCTAAATTTCCCAAGCTGGGCTTGAACTTCTGTTCTGCCTGCCTCAGCCTTCCAGAGTGCTGGGATTCCAGGTGTGTACAATGCCTGGCTAATGTTTGGCTTCTTGGTCTTCTTGTAATCACTTGGGCAGTGATTACAAAGGTGTTCATTTTTTAAAAAGCCATTAAGGGTCCGGATATTTAGCTCAGTGGTTCCACCGCCTGCCTTGCAAGCACAAAGTCCCAAGTTTGATCCCCACACCACACACACACATACACACACACAAAGCCATTAAGAAGATTAGCTATCATATGTATTCTTTTCTTTATGGAGATTATACTTCAACACAAAATTTCTTATAAAAACTAAAAAACTTTTTCTGGCCAAGATAATAAAGGACATAAAAAATGAATATTATAGTCCTTTATTCTCAATGCAATTGTAGTTTCTATGAACAAGGATGTGTAAAATTATACATGCATTCTTAATCTAGTTAAGTGAGCTTTCCATTTTATTATCCTATATATATATACTTGAAAAGACTTGTATATCATGTTGTATAAAGAGAGTAAAACCTTTATCATTTTTTATGGATTCCTGGAAATATGTTTAATTTCAATATTATGATTTATGACTGAACTGGATATGTTCAAGCATCCTACAGTTCTGTAGAGGGAAAAGGTGCTCACATACAACAGATTTGGGTAGCTGTGTTTTATACTATAAAATGCGTGTCCCTTGCCATGAATTATTAGGGAACAAAAGAGTCAGCTGTTGCCCCAGAATAGGCAGTCTTTAGATCAGGCAGTATCCTATGGCCCAAATAGGCTGATTCAAAACAGTGCATTGGACTAAGGTGATACTTATCGCTGGGGTGTAGGAAAATGGAGCCAGCCTGCAGAGAAGCTGAGGGCTGAGCCTGGTCCATGGCAAGAAAGGAGTGTGTGCAGAGATATGTAGGAGAGGGCTGAATGTGGAGGAGCCTTGACAAGGGAAGTGTGTTGAAGGCAGGTATATGTGCAACTTTGAATATAATTTGATGTATTCTATTTATGATGATAAGCCTTTTTTTTTCTGGTACTGCGCGATCAAACTTAACCTTGCACTTGCTAGGCAGGTCCGGCACTTGCTAGGCAGGTCCGGCAAAACTGGGTTACATCCTTGGCCTGATGATAGGTCTTTTTTTAAAAAAAGATTGTATAACTTTATCATTAATGTTGCCTTGTGACTACAGGATATGAGCTGTAAAATGTCTGCTAACCCCAAGCTCCAGTTCCTCCTTCCTGCTGCCAACATCCACCTGCCTATAGGAGGCGTGGGTCACATCCTGCCTCAGTAACAGCACTTTAGCACCAAAGCCCAAATAATTTGAAGCTTGTAAGTGACAGAGCTGGGATTCCAGGCCTAGGCATAGTGTTTCCCATGACTGGTTAATGGCTATGAGCGAAGCCAGCTTCCTCTTCAGCTCTGCCCCATATCTGCTGCAAACCCAGAACTACCCTGCCCAGTATTTCCCAGAATATATTGCCTAGCATACAAGACCTTCAAGGGGCTGAGAGGTTCACATGCAGAAAAAAAATGGCAGAGTTCTTAACTACCCAAGTCTTTTCTGTTCTTAAATAAACTGAGACTCTTCAAAAGGGAATTAAATATGCAGGCTCCCAGCCTTATTGATAATGGAATGATTTAATTATTGAGCTCTACACAAAATGAATATTCAGTGAGACATAACCAGGCAAATGCTGGTCTAGACACTTAGAAAATAGCTGTGAGGAAACTTGCTTCAGATAAAAATAGTGAGAGTGTACCCTGGAGCTTAGGAGCCTTTTTTCTGATGAACGAACTGTAAGTAGTCATCTATTTCTTCTAAAATATGTAGCATCTATTAGTGAGAGGTCCTAAAGAAGCGGTGAGTGCCAAGCTGCTCGATTAGGTGGATAGCCTGGCTGTGAAGCCTGACTCACATCAGTGAATGCACACTAACAAAAACTGCTTCAAGTCTTTGTTTATGGGCAATAGATCGTTACCGTCTCTGTTAGGATAGGGTTCCTCGAGCCTGCCTATGCTTTGCTGTCCAGCTTCTCTAGAACCAGGTGAAGTGCAAATAATTAAGCTAATAAATAAAACAAATATCACAGGCATACATTTCCAAAGTATGTTCCATAGAACCAATATTCTGAAGGAGATTAAAAGAAATAAACAACTTTAAATAATTTCAGAGATTTTTTTCACGTCAAGCAGGAATAGCATGTGTACTTTTCCTAGCATTTTTGAGCACAGAACTCTATTCTTTTGGGACAACTGTTCTCCCATACACAAGTTCAGAGAACACTGGTCTAAGGTGTATGTTTAAAGTAAGTAAGGCCTTTTTCTCTTGCCCTTTCCTTTCCTATCCTGTCCTGTCCTGTCTCTTTTTTAAGCATGGAGATCAGAATTTACACAAACAAATGAGGTGATCAGAGTTTGCACATACAAATGAGTTGAAACCTAGGGAAACTAGATGTCCTTGCCAGCAATGCTACCATTCTTTCAAAGAGTTTTTGAAACTCCTTTTCAGCCCTTGTTTCCAGGAATCAGGACACATTCCCATGAATAGCCTTGTTAATGGCAAAGGTTGACCCTTTGAGAGGGGATTTGATTTTGGGAGCAAAACTATGCAAAGTCAAGCCAGGTGATCCACATTCAGGAGGAAGTAAAACAGAAGTGGTGAAA